CTAAATTCTTTCACGCAAATTGTTACTGGGGCTTGTCTACAAGAAGCTTCCAAAACTTCATTTAGTGCATCTTTAACGATTATATAATTTTTGTACAGAAGGGAGATGAGATCAGGAGCGCTTATTATCATCAGAATCATTCTTTGTTTGGGGTGTAATCTGAGGGCATTTCATAACAATATGTTCAGGAGAGTCACACTTGTGATAGCATTTAAGATCAGCTGTGCACCATTGTAATTCTTGGTCACCGAAGGCATAGTTATTTTTAAGAGCATCATTGAGTGCTTTTTCTGAGTCGAAGTAAAGGATGGCAAAGGGTTGTAGCTTATAATTATTGGATCTCAGAATATAGCAACTTTTTGCTTTAGTGGTGATGATAATATTATGAAGATCACGTGCTGTTATTCCGAAAGGAAGATTGGTCAATTTAAAACGGATATCATTTCTGTATTTCACCTGTTCAGAGATGAGATCAGCCGGGTACACTCTTACACAGTCATTATATAGGTATCATGACCATTGTGTGTAAAACAATTGGATGGCATTGGGATCTTCATATATAACATAGGCGTGCTGCCACATGCCTCGTGTTTGCATTCTTACATTCGTAATTTTTCCATATTTAGTAAATACGGAGGTAAGGGAGTCTTGTTTAACATTGAGGTGAATATCCGTGATATGCAGGGTGCGCTGCTGAAACTGCATGTTGTCTTTGTATTCATTGTAGTCAATCAGTTGGTCGATTCCCAAATCGGGAAATTTTACAGAGGAGGCAGAGATCATCGACTCCTTATCAGCAAAATAGATGACTGCAGAACAAACGAAGTTGACGCGGCGAACGTTAACACCTTTGAAAGCGTCATTATAGGCGAAGTGGTTGTTAATAGCTTTGACAACTGTTTGGGTAGGGAGTTCTTTCGCGGTTTTGAAAATAATAGAGGCACAGGCGAAAGTGGTAAGGCGAGTAATAGTGATAAAGTCACGGTTTTCAGTTTCCATATTATCGTTGTCTTCAATAGGAACGTACTTGTCTGTATCCAAAACGTTGGGAGGTGGGGTGGGTTTTGGTACGAAAGTATCAGTAACAATTTCTTCGTCGGAAAGGGAACTAGGGTCAGGAGCAGTCTTAAACAAAGAGGCGACGGTTTTAAGTTGCTTGTCTTTTGGGTCGAAGCGAAAGGTATTTTTTGAACTGGTAGAGCGACTGGTTTTTTTTCCCATTTTTATTTGTAAAATTTGTAAAAACTCTTTTGAAAAATTTGTTTGTAAAGTAGAAATAATAAACTAACTAACGGAGTTGAAAAATATTAAGAACTTTTTAAAGCGAAACGATTTTATTTTCTAAAAAATTTTTGTTTCCAAAAATTTTTGGGAGAAAGGAGAAAGAGTTTTTGTTAGTCTATTCAAATTTTAAACCAGTAATTCAACTTCACATTGTGTAACCTAACCCTTCGATCTGCATTTTCCAGAAAACTTTTATTTTTTAACTTTTATGGTAAAGTTTCGTTACGCAAGTGAATAAGCTTTTTTTTATTCTTTTTTTTTTTTTTACGATTATATTCTGATTATTTCATTTTTGAATTGAATATCTCATACGTTATCTCAATCAATTTCAACATGAGGAAAGTTAAGAGGTAAGAGTTCATTCATAAACCCGAGCAAGTTTTTTTTAATATCGTATCGATTATGTTGAAATCCATATATGTTATGACTTTTGCTAGATGCAGATAAGATATTGACTGCATGAAAAAATGCATTGACGTGCATAAGATCCGATAATGTAATAAGTTGCATTAATCTTTAGATGGAAAAGGACGGATAATATGCTATGCGAAGCGTAAGCGTGTAAAAATCTGGATTCCTTTCGGTTATGTTGATCTTTGAACTCCCTTCGAAAACAAAATACAAAATTTCAAGGAGTTGTTTATGAAACAAGATACCAAAAAGAGAACGAAAATGGGAAGCGAAAATTTCTGAAATTTTGTTATAAATGGGCAAATATCTTGCATGAGCTTTTTTTTTCTTCAGGTTTTTAAATCTATTCGCAAAATAAAAAATAAAAAAAAATAAATCAAAATACTCCAAGTAAAAATAAGAAAAAAAAATTATATGAAAATGAAAGCCTTTATCGTTTTTCTCTTGTTACAGGTGCGTCAATTAATTATAAAATATTGTTTTATAATCATTTTAATTCATGATTTTAATAATTTATTTGATATATATTTAGGTCCTAATGATCTCTGCCCAAGTAGCGAAAATAATTCCTCATACGATTAAGATCCCCGCAGGCAGCAAATGGGTGAAATGCGCTGCTTCACCAGCTACATTTATAAGTAAGTTTTGAATTTATTTACAACCAATATTGTACTCTATTTATTGACAAATATTTTATTTTTATAGGCTATGGCATAAAATTATCTGGCTCTGACGCCATAGTAGATCCAACAAGTTATGATGGTTCAACTTCCGCATTAACAAACTTCAAAGCAACTGTTCAAGGAACTGGAATTTATACATATGTTAAAGATGCACTAAATGAAGTTTTGGAAGCTTCTTGTAGACAAGCCCCAGTAACAATTTGCGTGAAAGAATTTAG